ACCAAACCATTCGGTTCTCGATTCGGATACCCGTTCGGGTATTTCATATTAAAAAACCCGCTCGGTTCGGTTCGGTTCGGTTCGGTTCCGGTTCGGTTCGGTTCGGTTCGGACATTTTGCCCAGCCCTATTTGAGACCCAAAATTCCACTTTGTTAAGAATAAAAGGAATAATTGCTGAAAAGCCCAAAACCTTTGAAATACTACCGGACTTTTTCCAAACCTTAGTTTTGTTGCATCTGTCACCCCCAACCTTTTCAAATGTTGCAGATGAAGTTCTTCTGGGCAGTTTTCATTCACAATTCAGTCAGTTGACCAAAAAATTAACTTTGACCACATTATAATCAATTTTAATAAGGGTAAAATCGTTATTTTATATTTACCACATTAAATAACAAAACAAATGGAAAAATTGTAACTTCTTCTTCCCAAATCCACCCAATCACCCAATCTACAATATATGAATAATCCTTGGATCACCCAACTTGCTCAAGAGAAGTGGTATCAGATTAGTCTCCAGCATCAATAATCCTTTGATCACGTTTTCACTAAAAGGAAAATGAGAGTATCTTTCCTGCATTTAAACACATACAGACAATTTGGATCTTGAATTGCTTTACTCTTTTCACTCTTAGTCTCTTTCTTTAACTCTAAGAGAGAATTATCTTAGAACCCCTCATTTTATAGACAGATAAATTGCTTTGTTTCTTCACAGATCCAAGAGTACGAAAAGCTTGGTAAATATGGGTTATCTATGAATGAGTTTGATTTATGGTGGTCGTTGGATGCTGATTTTGGGTTTGAAGTGGGGGAATGGGTGGGTGTGGAGGAATGAGAAGAAGAAGATGTTTGTGTTTTTTTTTTCCTTATTTTTTAAATTTAATTAGTTTAATTATTTAATGTGATAAATATAAAGTTACTCTTTTGCCCTTTTAAATTATTAAAAATGTGGTCAAAGTTGAATTTTTGATCAACTGACGGTATTGTGGATGTAAACTATCTGTCCAAAAGGGTTTTATCTGTAATGTTAGGGGTGACGGTTGCAACAAATCAAA